CCTATATGGGAAGATTCAGCTCCATTCACCGAACGCGTGGATATAAGGTTTTTGAATGTGCGACAAACTATGCAGAAGTTATTAGCCTAAACGCACTTTTTATGATAGTAGTGCCACCTAGTGGCTGACCCAAAAGCGACACAAAGAATATCGAATTTTTCACCAGGCCTGACCACTTCGTCGTCCGACTGACACACCTCGTAGTCTATATGTTCAGGGGGGCAAAAACGCAGTCGAAGGCGCTAAAAATAATAAGAAACATAGCAAATACAATATGGACCTCCAGCGGTCGCTGGCTCGGTCACTAAAAATAATCATATAGAAATAGCCAATCTTTTTCCTGATTGTCTTGTTTGTTTATGTAGGTTATAAAGAGCAGTGGTTCCCAACCTGGGAGTCAGGACCCCCACTAAGGGTCGCCCAATCTTCACAGGGGGTCGCAAGTTCTTCTTGATTTTACTCAATAAGCCTATATCTTAAGATTTAGTTACTAAATGAAATTGTTGCATTATTTCTGAAAGAATGTGTGTGATTGTTTAAAAAATACCATTAAAATGACATAATACTGACAAAATGTTAGAAAAAGTTCCTAAAAATATCAGGGAAACTCATCTAAATGTCTGGTTTTACACAAACTTCCTGTAGTTATTGAGTTCACTGTTTGGGATCATTGTACAGTTTATCAGCTGTTATGTCTTGTCACTGTTATGCATTGAATATAAGATGAGATATGCATAAAATATGTCATTCAGTCATTTTACTCAATGATAGAAAAGGAAGGGAAATGTTGGGAACCACTCATATAAAACATTAAATTGAGACTATTTTATTATAAGTTAAAAAGATAAATGAATAAAAGATAAATGATCACAACTCACAATTTTATCTCAGATATTTATTTGTTTGATTCCTCTAATGAGTAAAGCTACAGGAGCTCCCTGATAGCTCACCTGTAGTGTACGAAGGCTGAGTCCTTGCTGCAGCAGCACAGGGTTCAGATCTGACCTGTGGCTCTTTGCTGTGTGTCATCCCCTCCATCCATATCCATATCCTATCCACTGTACTTCATTGTCAGTATGGATGTGAAATAGGTCTTAATTGCATTCATAATGGTCCTGAAAAGGTCTTAAAGTCCTATATTTAACCTGTGCAAACCTGCAACCTCCCCACATATAAAGAATACTGTATATTTAGTGTGTGTGTGTGTGTGTGTGTGGTGCTCAGGGTCTCTTCCGCTCAGGGTTTTGGACCACAAACAGGGCAACAGTCCCCTCATCTCTCTGCCACTGGTAGCTACAGAAGGGTTGTAAAAAAGAGATGTTAGAATTGTTGAGTCAAAGAACCTCCTTTAGAAATCTGAACATTTGGGAAGCAAAGCTCAACACATTTTACCTAATAATTTACACAGTTTGTCATTAATTGTCAGTATTGACTCACTGGGTGTGTTCGGGGATGAGTAAACTTTCTCCTGGAGCAAGACTGAACTCCTGTTGATTCATAGTGACTGTTGACGAGCCCTCCTGAGAGACAGAGAGAGGATGGGATGATCAGAAAAAGAGAGTTTGGTAGTTGCAGCAGCTCATACAGGGACAGACACAGGATGCTACAGCAGGAACTGAACATTTAGAGAACGTACCATCTGCCAAATCCACACGTCGCTTTGGCGTACTGACGTCTCCGTACGGCCTGGTCCAAACACCATCGCCTGTCATCATAAGACGGAGAGTTATTGCATTTCTTCCATATCGCCGTCATCATCTACAGCAGTGTTTCTCCGACGGGGGTACACGTAACCCCTCAGGGTACTTTAATTTACAAGTTCCATAAAAACTGTAAAAGTCAGTTCAATAAACCACATTTTATATTCAATATTATCCCATTTTCAATCGTTACCTCAGGAAGAGAGTTTGATCTCTGCAGTTGCCGCCCTGCCACCGAGAATGAATGAATAAGACCCTGCACAAGTTTCTCTTTAAAACATTTAACATTTGAAACGTAGCACTTATGTGTTTGTTACTTACAAAGTTGTGCTGCATTGAACCTCTTTATACAGGATTTCTTTTATCGACCAGAAATGTTTTGCACTGGTCAGGTGGCTGAAAACATATCTCAAAGGGAATGAGAACCATCGATCTACAGTCTCTGTGTTCTGATTTCACTTTGCTTTACTAAAGTCCTTCATTATTGTGTTATAATGACGCATTCTGAGAGTGGTCAGCATTAAAGATCACTAGTAACAGCACAGAATGATGATACAAAGCACTGTATCTACTTACTACACTGACTTTTTGATGTTTCCAGCTAAACTTTAGGTTGTAGTTTGAAATTTGACACTAGACTTTGCAAGTGTTCATTCACGGTGGGTATTTTAAATGTTTCACTGCTGCTCAATAGATCTTCCTAAATGTTACACACTGGGCCTCTTAATACTGCAAGAAGAACACGATTCCTTGTACCTCAGTCTCAAACTGAGCTCCGAACATGTCGATGGGCCCGCCGTTGCCCAGCGCCGCCCTCTGTTTGTCCAGCCAGTCTTTGAAGGAGAAGGGGGACATCACGTTCATGGTGCTCATCTGGAACGGAGGCTCCCTGAAGACTTCATCTGTTCATCCAAACACATTCGTGACACCGGTTAAAAACTGATAGCAATTAGGTTTTAGATTAAACATTAGAGACTCACTTGGATCAGGTTTTCCTGTTTTGCACTGCTTCGATGCCATGAACCTACAAATAAAGACAACCAACAAAACAAACTGGGTTAAACCAACCTGATGGACACTGATTGTGAACGTGTGAACAACAGTGGGGGTCTTACTCTTTGATTATTGGCACCAGTTGGGTTCCGAGGTCCTGGCAGTAAAACCATCTCTCAAACAGGGTGTTAGTGGTGTTGTCCACGTAGTACCTGAAAGCACCAACACACACTGACGTGTGGGATACAAATAGGAAGTCTTTCTCTTCCTAGAGTCATTTCTGCCAGCAGTGCTCACAACTTCAGAAGCTTTCACATAGCTCTTAAGGATTTCACACAATCATCACATAGAAAACAAGGTTTATGGTTAAGATTTCATATCACAGTTCGTTGCTCAGGATATTTTCAACCTTGTTCCCAATGAAGAGTCTGTTTTTGAATAAAATATAACTTTATTGTCCGACTGAGGCCGGAAACCAGATCAGATAAAAACATCTCCTTGATGTAGTCAGTTTATAGAGGCTCATTCACTGTGTGAAAAAAACCTCTTTAATCTACTCTACGGTTAAAGTGATATGATATATAATATATCCTTCGTAACACTCATATTACATTCTAGTTTTCCACTTTTTTTACATTTGAAAGTAATAAAATACAGTGTTTGACTTGATTGTACCCACAGTTCTGTTGGAGTACGGTAATACCACTTTGAAAATGGTGTTTTGAATATGGTGTGTGTGTGTGTGTGTGTGTGTGTATAATTCTAGTTGTTTCATATCCATTTGAAAAAACCCTTTATATACAATTAGAATGCAAACACAATATCTACTTTGGCACAAATAATAGGAAAGGTTAAAGGAGCCCAGTGTGTGTAAATGTTTGGCTGTGAACAACAATGATAATATGAAATGATGTGTAGAAACTGCTGTTATAATATTGTTCTGTCTCATAGTACTTGAACATTGTGGCCCTCCTGTGAGATGATAAAACCAGCTGTGGCCCCGAAGCCAATGTGAGTTTGAGTCCCCTGCTCTAAAGTTTAGATTCTGCTCTAACTGTAATGTGTTTTCTTATTTGTCCTGCATCCTCTGATATAATTAAGAAGAAGGGATGAAGGGGGAAGAGGAGATAAAAGGAGAGTTAACCTCAGACAGTCAGTCTCAGTCAGCAGCCGTCTCCTCTCCACCACCAGTCCCACAGTGTCGGCCTGTCTCTGCGGGGAGTGCGGGATCCGAGCCGGCAGCAGGAACATCTACAGAGCGAGTCATTTCAGAGTGAAAATCCTAACCCACTGACAGTGAATCGCACAGTCGGATCAATGTGCAGGAATGATTGATTATAACTGAGCTCACCTCTCCCTCCTTGATGTGCACGTCCTTGTGTTTGCCATTTTCAATCACCTTCAGACACATGTCCCCCTTCAGCTGGTAGAACAACTGTTTGAGAGAGTGGAAGAAGAGACAAGAAATATTATTCATTTAAATGGAAACTGCACTGATTTTACACATGACAGACTGTGTGCATGCTGGAGACTGCTACAGTAAAAATATTGTCTTTATGACACTGCTCAAGTATCACTATTGAGTAAGAGCTTGTCGCCTGACCGTTGTTTATACTTTGGTAGGGGCAGATCTGTTCTCAGGGGGGCCAGAGGGTGGCATGGAGACTTTAAGGGGTGGTGTAGAAGTATATATATGCTGATTTTGTTTCAGGAAAAGCCCCCAAATGGAGATATTTTAACTGAAATACATTAGAAATATCTAAAGGTGCCATTAGAAATCAGTAAATTGTTTTCTTACATTTTTTAAAATAAAATGTAAGCCAATCACTAAAATGTGGCAGATCATTAAATTAATGTTATTTCTACAATAAATCTAAATAAATGTTGGCCGGGCGTTTCTTAGGGTTGTCCGCTGCCGCCCCTCGAGGTCCGCCGCTGTGCTTTGGTACTGTGAACTGTGAAGGATGAAAACAGGACCCAGAAAAATCTAATCTTGGCAGCCGGTCAAAATAATTTAACCAACTATTGCAACATTGTGCTGGAGTTTGCCCTTTTTAGTGGGAGAGAGTTTCTTTAAGACACGGTCATTATGCTGGGAACTAAAGTAGGGACTTAACTTTAAATCAAAGTTTGCACTATAATAACATTGATTGGAAGTGGGAGTCAGACTTTATGCAGAAGGATCTCTCTCTTACCTCCTCCCCTTCCTCTATATGATAATCCTTCCTGGTGTTTGGACCTCCGACAAACATGATGATCAACTGGGAAAAGTGCCTGAGAGACAGAGGAATGACAGTGTACTCCCATGAACTCAAACACTCTTTACTTACTGACAGGTTAAACTGTAATCACACACAGATTCCCAACAATGGGGCAGATATCAGAGTACTCACATGAGCTTGTTGCACACCGGTGGCAGAAAAGCATTCTGGTTCCCTGTGATCCATTTTTCCACGTTCACCAGCGCAGACGTGTCGCTCATTGTTTCAAACGGACCTGGTTTGTCGCTGCAGTGTGAAGCCTCTCCGCTGGTCTGAGCAGCTCAAACAGTCTGACTGATACTGAAAGTCCAAAATGCAGAAGTGGGGGAGGAGTTCCCGTTGGTGACATAATAAGTAACATATAGTGCCGTCCTGCAGTGACTCTGTAGACTTATTGAAGTCACACTGGGGACAGCGACTTGAGGTTTTTCTCCCAGGGTTCAAACCACAGGGGAGCAAAGACGTGACGGTTTTTTGGGATTGTTTCAGCCTAAAATGTCTGATTTCTCCGCAGCTTTTATAGACAATTTTGAGGCATGTTGTGAAGTTTGAAGGCATTTTTCTTTTTCAATAAAATTGTGGGAGAAAGTAAAAATTGTGTCTCTTTTGTATAATTCATTAAAAACTGAAGGCAACTTGTTCCAGTTTGACTATAATGTTTGTTTGGAGGATAAATGTGAGACGTATGAGTCACTGTTCTTCCTCCTCATACAGATTAGTCATTTGTTTATTTTTATGATTCGTTTTCTAATGTGTTCATTTGTTTTTAAAAGCAGCATAAAGGGAACTTTATCTAAATTTAATTGCTGTAAATAACCTGGAATCGTTGGATTACCTGTTCAAAAATGTAACTTAATCCAATTTATCACAATATTAAAGTAACTTGATTACTTTCCGTTAATTTTGGATTTCCTCAACACCAAATATGCAAATAAAGACAAGATAAATGAAATATTGATAAGATCTCTCTTCTATAAAACAACTGAACAAAGTAACCTAAGAAAATAAAATCATGTGTGTTTGTATAGAAAATGTGAAGCTTTGAACTTCCCATGAAACAAATAGTCAGAGAACATTTTCACAGCTGGAAGCAGAACTCGCTCCGTACTTCCACTTTTCTGCTTTAAAAACAAAATAAAAGTTTCCACCAGAGATAATGAACCAACTCACATCTGCAATTGTTTTATTATTCTTTATTTTAAAATGTAATTCCACATTTTTATTAAATGTAGCTGTAATCTGATTACAACCTTTTGTGTGTATCCTGATAATATTACTCTATTACATGTAATCTGTTACCCCCCAAATCTGCCCGTACACCCATTTAACTTCATTACAGTTATATAAGTTCTTCACATGTTTGTCATTAATATTTAAAACAATATAAAACTATTTGTACTGAATCCTGGTGATTTATTTTATTTTGTATTCATTTATTTTATTTTATTTTGGCGCACACCGCTATGTATCATGATTGTTTGTTTGTTTTCCCCGTGTGTTGTTTTTAATACCTTTAATATCTTGTATAATATCTCTGATTGTTGTATTGTGTTTTTCTGTATGTATCTGTATATTGTTATTTTTGTTAAGAACTTTTGCAAACACAAATAAAGTTATTATTATTATATTATTTTATTATTATATATGTTTTTACTTATTATTATTATTATATTATTGTTTTATTATTATATTATTGTTTTGTTATTATTATTATTATTATTAGATTTTTATATTATTATTATATTATTATATGTTCTCACTGAGGAGGTTGGTGATCAGGAGTTAATCTGAGGTGTAGTTCCTCCAACTGTCCACTATGTGGCGCTGTTGGTGAGGTCAGATAACAGCTGTTCTTCAGAGAGCCTGAAGGTCAATGTGAGTCTTCCCGCCGAATGAGGAGTGTCCTGGTTTCTATTGTTTACACCAACAGAGGCTTTTCATTGGTCTGATTACAGAGGTTCATCATCAGACACATTTCATCCATTTAATGTCATTTTTAATCCTTTTTAATAGAAATGTTGGTTCAATTATAACTTCTGAATGTTTAATAACTGAGGAATTATTATATATATATTTATAATTATATTCTTAAGTGAGTTTCTATCTAACTTTAAGGGTTTCGGTTGATATGATGCAGATTCAAACAATATAAATAAGATTAAAGAACAAAAAGAGGAAATAAAGTGTCAGTGCTTTCAGATATAATAAAATAAACTTAATATAAGTTAATAATTCATTAAATTAATCATTAAAAAAGCAACATTAGTTGATCATTTTATGTGTTTCAAATATTGTTTACTAGAGAATTGTAATGGAGGTTAAAAACAATTACAAATATACACATTTTTAATGTTTTAACTGCATTAAAGATATATCTAATTACTCTATTAACCATCTTTAAACATAAAACCATGTTCAGTAATATAAGTTTCCTTATAGAAGATGATTCACTGTGTTCACTGTATTAATTGTACAGTTCTGGACCTTTATATGAGTTTATAATAGAGTCAGGAGCACGTAGAATATAAATCATTTTAATGTGTGTGTGCCAACTATCAACCACTTTTATTGTGAAACTTAGTGAATACAGAACTTTAACTTTGTTTCCTTTTCAGAATTAAATATTTAAAAATAGTTTCAGGAAGAAATACTAACTCATTCAAATAATAAGTTATTAAGATAAAGTAAAATAATGAGAAACGTTCTCAATAATAACTCACTGTCTTAAAATAAACTGAAATGTTCTCAATATTTTGATTTATAATCTCAAAATAATAATTTAGCATCTTTAAATAAGAAACTTTCAGAATATTTTGATATATTTAAAAAATAATTACTTAAT